GTTAAATTATTGATTATAACATTTTTAATTACATTAAATATGTTCGTTATTGTATAGTATATATTACGATTCATTATTATGAGAACGTACAGAATATTTAAAATATTAATATAATATTAATAGAAAAGTTATTATTAATAGTTTAATAATAATGAAATAAATTTACAAAATATATGAAAAATTAATTTATAACGTGCTAAATTCTGACGATTTAATTTTAAAAAATTATAAAATTAAAAAAATATTAATTATACTAATTGTGTTGCTCTAACTAGTAATTAACTAGTTATTGCCAACTTAGTATTCCAGAGTAATACATATCTCTATATGGCTTGATAATCGAATTGATAAGACTGTAGAAAATGAAGAAAATCTCTAGACTGAGATTCTATTTTCGGCAACAAGTCCTTTATAGTGTTTTAAGATGCTTATTAGCAATATTAGCATTATTATTAAATTGACAATTAATGTAATTTGCGATATTATTTCTAGCTTCAATTTATGTGCGTTTTAAGTCTAACAAATTGAATTGAGTTTTACAGAACTGAAAAATGTATTAAAATATATACACATTATCAAGTATCAAAATCTGCTTTGATTAAAAATAGGATTTTTATTTGATTTATTTTTATTGATCTAATTTTTACTTATAATCTAAAAAATATACTTACATTTTATGAAGAAATTTTCGCTAGTTTTTAAATATTGTCATTGTATAAACGTCTGAAAATAATAGCTCATTTATATCGACTGATTACGTATCTAATAAAAAATAATGTAGCCATTTGAACATCGAAACAAAAATAATACAGAAAGAAAATTAAAATACTTACGACATTTCAAAATAAACGAAGCGTATTACTATGCAAGTATAAACAAAATACAAACGAGATTTTGTGCGATTTATTTCACTATTGGAACAATTTATGTTAGATATGATAGTGCATATCATTATCATGCAAACCGTAAGGATAGATGCTTGTGTGAAATGCTATACGCACGACATTCTCCATTGTGGGTTTTCACGAATTCCATGAATGCATGCGTGGTTATCATTCGATGGATAACCGAGACCGCTATCGAGTTTAACCCTTAAGTACAGAACTGATCACATGCCCTACTCATACACGCACATGCACAGACGCCTGTCTCACACAGATTACCTTCTTTATATGATATTATATATCCAGTATATGACATCAATATCTGGAAATTCGATCTATCAATAATCATATACTCGTATGTGTGTGCGTGTGTTATCCTGTGTGTGTAGAATGTGTTTTACTCGGTGTGTATACTGTGTGTTGCTGTGTGTGTATGATTTAAAAATAAACATCCAGATATTTTGAATATAAACATGAAGTATTTCGTTCTTGCTTCTAATCTATTGGTAATTGGAATTGATATTGAATGTTTTTATTTTAAGCTATTGGCATTTGTCACGATATTAATTTATTTTTATATCAAATCTATGAAAAGAAATAAATCGGTAAAGATAGCGGCCGTTAGCTATTTTTTTAACAGTGTAACTATCAATGCTTTTAAGAAATAATTATATTTTATTGGAATATTGTTTGTTTTATATTACAAAGAAAGTAAGTACAATGGATTTTAAATATAAAAGCGTTTTATATTTAGCAGCGAAAATTTATATATATTTATTAATACTACAAATATCTTATTATATCATAATTATGAATTCATATTAGAATTATTTACAAAACATTTTATTATTTTCTAATCTTACAAGATTTCAATATTTCAACGAACTATGACCTTATTGATTATATTGACATTTCCCTCTTTTCTAGATTTTCTTATATTAATGTAAAAAGCTCTGTAAAATTTACATGTAGATATAAAATGTGCAGATGCAAAATTAGTATATGCATGCGTAAGAAAAATGGAGAGTCACAGCGTACGCGACATTTAAAAATGGCGTTAGGTCACCAGAAGGACGTAACCTTGGTCTATAAAGTGATGTCAAAGAAATCTCAAGATATTAATCCTTTAATACCGGAACTTCATTCTCATTTTTCGAAATGTTCTTCAATTTTCGTTGAAATTTGTCAATATCCAAATACACAATTTTTATAGTTATTTTATACTTATACTTGTATTTATACTTACACTTGTATTTATAATATATTTATAATATATTTATAATATATTTATTTTTATATCTATATTTTAATTTTTTAGTCGATTCTGCAATTATATTTTGTAAACGAGAGAGTAAATTAAAATTTACTAACTATTTAAAGAACTAAGGTCTCTATTATTTAATTATGCGCGGCATTACGAAAAATTGAAAATGTATAGAAAACTTTTTCGAATAAGATCCATTACTCTTTTTAAGTACATTTTCCAGGTATTAAATATTAGGTATTTAGTAGTTTGTGTTTATTGGAGTAAACTTTTTATCCGATTTCCTAGTCATCAGACAATGTGCATAATTCGTACTCAACAACCATGCCGCAAGTATAATTATTATTGTTGACGCACGCATTGTTGCAGAGGACCATTCAGCGTCGTTCGGAAATGCATTCACCGTCACACTGGGCAAATTTTTGCCGTAAAAATCGTCGATGTGGCGAAATTCACCTCTAGTCCTGGGCTCAGTACTGCGGGTGAGTACATATTTTATAAAAATGACGTAGGTACACCCACAAAGAAGATAAAGAAATATCCGAAGGTGTTTCTTTCCGATTTCGAGTTTCTCACGTTTGAGTCAGCTTAATAAAAAGCGCAGATTTTTCAAGCATTATGCATAATGTACATTTAAACATCGAGCAGTCAATTGATAAATATATTTAATAGAATATTTCTCCGAAACTTTAAAATATTGGATAAAATATTTTCGAGAAACGAACAGTATAGATATTTTTGTAACATTAAGAGGTCATTTTGGGATACATGTCTTTTGTAATCTGTGATCAATATTGAAGTGCTTTAATTAGTAACATTGCTTTTATATATTTTATAATTCTTGTAATATTCGGACAGAGACAAGTAAATCGATTTAAATTTTACCGAGTTATTTCTCCACAAGAATCCATTACACAAAATAGCCTCTCATGTTTTGAACATGTTTTATATGTATTCAAGTTTATCCAAATAAAGGAGAGACCATTCCTACTGGTTTGTAAATACCCTTCCATTAATTTCCATCGTGTTTTCGAAGCAAGGCCTATACTTCCCTATTCGTCCACCTACTGACAACGTACGCTGCTTTCCCCAATGCTACAGACTGACTAAACATAGGTTCGAGTTGTGAATCGACGCGAAAGCCATTGTCCAATTGAATGGAAAGGCGGACCATTGTCGCCGCGCACATTTTTCGGGGATTTAACCCAACGTATCAGTCGACAGGTCTAAATGAAATATACGAGAAGAATGCATTGTTTAAAAACCAGTTTTTTCTAATAAAGCGCCTTTTTTCCGGAAATGAGAGTAATATTTAATTTTTACTGATAGCACACGAAACTGGTGAACCAGGTGTGAACATGCTATGAACTCACTAACAGATAAGCCATAGCTGAGCAGAGAAAACGATTTTGAAACGGTATTTTTCATACAATTTCTAAATTCCCTATAGCATTACTGCAATAAATCAGAAGAAAGAGACTAAAAACACCTCCCATAAATGCATCATACGTATTAATAATGAAACAGATGTTCATTTAAGGTACCATATGGAATCTCTTTGGGATTATATGAATCTCACGTGGAAATATTCGGAAACATATGCGAACAGAGTATAATATTTCGTTCCTATTCGTGAAATATAATTTTACGTATAAAGCAAGATGTTTCATTTCGCTAGATGTCGTAAAATATTAGTTTCTTTGTTCACCCTTTGTTGTCATTTTTCTTTCCTCTTTTTTTGATTACTTTCTTTCTCATTTCCATTATAAGTATTATTTGATCAAAGTTAAGATTAAATATTTAAATATTTTTTAATTATTTTTGACATTATATTTTTTGTTAAATTATATTTATTAACAATATGTTAAAATTTTTTAATTAGAAATTAAACCGTATTAATTTGCAAATAGAAAGTACAATTTTATTCTTTAGATAAAGTTTATATTAATGAGATTTTAATTTAGTACTTAGTTGCAAAGATATTTAATTACGAAGTTGTAAAATAGCTGCATGTATAATTTAGTGATAAGTTTTGCAAGAGTTCATATTGCTGTTTTTATTAGTCGAAGAATTTATCAATGAAAGATTCATTGATAAATTTCGTTGTTCTTTACATTTATATGCATCAAAATTTTATAATTTACTAATTTGAAATTAATTAACTCACTTTTAGAGAAATGTATAAAATTATAAAAGAAATGTAATTTGTTAAAAAATTTTTATGTCGTTCTACAAGTTCGCACACTAAATGTTTTAATGTTATTAAATAAGTCTTTGTTTAAAATTATTGCAAATAGTTTTTTATATTTTTTTATGGTACACTTTTTTTTACACGACTAAAAGATATAAGCTATTCCGTTATTGCAGTAGTTTTGTTATTCGTGACTTTAACTACAGACTTCATTGCAGTTGAATGCAGATACGGCATCGAAATTGACTAATAAAAACTGGGAAAAATGAAGTTTTTTCGCATTTAATCCAGATTGAATATCTACAGTTTCGTTTAACTAGAATAAGATTAAAATTATCTATTCTGATTTTATAGACATCTATATACAAAGTATTTATTTTGTTTAGATTTTTTGATAGATTGTGATAGAAAATTTACATAATTTTGTACATTTGTAATATAATTTGTATAATAATATTAATTTCTTATATAAGTTGACAATACTGAAATTTTAGTTTATGATAATACACACACGTGTATGCATTTTACAAATAAAATATGTTTTTATTAAAAAATCTTTTGACATTATTTCTTGTCATAAATCTTTAAAAATCTTAAAGTTTTTGATATTTTCATGACAAAGTGGATTGCATTAAGAATCTCTCTAGTAAAACAAAATTTGTTTACAACAATTTGAACCATGTTTAGTCAGTGATTTTAATCTCCATGATGTATAATGCGTGAAAGCCATCTGCGTTAAATCTACGTTTCATATGTTTTAGATTTGAAACGAGAAGCTACAATATGCCATATGTTGAAACATCCACATATTGTGGAACTGCTCGAAACTTACAGCTCCGAGGGCATGCTATACATGGTATTTGAATAGTAAGTATGCAAAAACATATATATATATATTTGATATTTTGAGAAATATATTTCTTTATTTAGCTCATCAACAAATTTAATTGTAATTTGACAAAAACAAATTGATAGAAACAAACTTAATGTGTGCAACATTTATCTAATTACAATATTTTATCTAATAATAAATTTAGATACAGTAACCTCTAATCTTACAAAATTAAAACTGTAAAAAAATAACTATAGCATAAACTATTATAGTTATATTCTTTTAATCATGAACTTTTAACGAGTCTTTTTTTAGAAATGCAACTTTTCGAAAGGCGTCAATCTCGTCCTTTATATGCCAACAAGTCTACTCTCTCATTTTCCTACTTACTACCTTCATAATTACTACCTTCAGGTTAATGAAACGTTATGCTCGTAACATATGAAATGGAAAAGCATTACGTTTGTCGAAAATGAGAGACTCGGCAAAATAAATACGTAACATTTCCTTAACGGCTCTATCTTTACTCAGGAAAAGCACGTTTTCCATTTAGTTGTTTGCTATCTATTATAACGTTATACTATAGTTCGCTATAATTGGATACACACATCCGAGGTGCTCTCGAAATAATCTACGCTATCGGATAAGATAGCTATGGTTTTTAATAGACTCGGTGCTCAAGGCGTTTTTAACGAGACTATTTAAATAATATGACACTCAACCACACTTCGTTATTTCCTTTAGTTTAATGGGATATTATTTATGTCATAAAAAATTTTTATTCAATGACAACATTATCGATATGACACGATTAAATATACAAATATCATTTTAATCAATAATTTTCTGTGAATTAATTAAGCGTTATGAATGTTATGTGACATTTGATCATAATCGATATACATGCAGATAAATAAGTTCCAATTAAATAATTTAAAAATGATTCATGAATAATTAAAACAAATAGGAATCAAAGAACAAGAGAAATATTCAAATTAAAACAGATCCATTTACCGCATCACCGGATATTCCTATTTCGATATTCCATTTCTCTTTCAGTATGGACGGCTCTGATTTGTGCTTCGAGGTCGTAAGACGAGCAACTGCAGGATTCGTATACAGTGAAGCAGTTGCAAGGTAAGAAATTCATTATATCTATCATCGCGCGATGAGCACACTGTGCGAACGTCGCGAATCCACAGCAGACAGTATATCCATTTAAACATTATCCGCTAAAGCTAACATCGTTTACTTTGGATGTAGTATGATACGCTGGCATTATGTCGCATGAATACATAATATTCTGTAATGTTCCGTTCTAAAATTTCTAAGAACTTCAGCCAAGATAGTGGCTATATTAAATTTATCTTTTATTACTCATATTTTTTCAAAACAATTAAGACATGTAAAAAATACATATCCGAAAGATTTACAGAGGATTATTGCCATTGAAATACAATTATCGCATAACGTCTAGATTTAATATGTGCTCCTACACGATGAAAACTCTAATCTGTTTATTAACCTTGTTAAGGCGATGCCTTCAAGATGAAAGAAATTTGATAAATTAATTGTTTTCATCGAGTCACTTGGAACTTGGAGTACTGAAACGTGATTACCTTTTGTATGTTACACTCGATATAATGCAAACGGATTCTCTCTCTCGAGTCTCCCTGGAGCGTAATAAATCTCTGTCTCGATAAATCCTTGACTGCGATCCATTAGATTCGCTATACTCGTTCATGTCACGCTTGAAATAACAGTAGTCTTCACCTCGAGAGGATCTTATTAAAACTGTTCACAAATATATCTTATATTTTTGACACGCTATGAAGAATTATTAGATAATAAGTCATATTTAATATAGTATCTCTGATAGAAACTACTAAATGATATCTGATTATAAAAGGAAGATATACATTGCAAATCGTTTTCATGCGTTTAAGTACTTAGCAAATACCTATATATCCCCCCAGGATCAGATATGATATGTAATCTCGATGATATAAATTACACACGAAATAATATCTGATCGTAAGAGGAATATAATACATTTTAAACCGTTTTCACATGTTTAAATATACTTAGGAAATATCTATGCATATATATATTTTCTATATTTAAACGTATAGATATTTTATATCTATGTACTCCACCAGGCTCAGATATAAATCATCCTTTTCAATTCTTTACTTCCTTTTGTCTGAAAAACATGCTTTTTTGTTGTTCGAATTTCTCAGAATCAAAGACTTTATATGAATATTACATATCAGATTCACAAACGTTATGTATTCACCGCATATAGATATCTCACATTACTCAGGAGCTCAAAAAAATCGATCTCAAAGTCTTTTGGTTGATATGATGAAAGTACAATGAACATAGTGTAGTAAATAACTGCATCGTTTTTGTCTATGCGGTATTTCATATTTTGCATCGTCTTCTGGCAGTACTATGCCATCGATATCTTGTTTTTATTTTAAACCGTATTTCCTTTTTGCATACTTTGTAAAAAATATTAGTGATAATGTCAAGAGTCAGTTAGAAAAGGTTTTATACCGTATATAACTGCATGAAAAATGTTACTCCAAAACGTATATTTATCTATTAATTAAATTTAAGTAATATGATTTTGGTCCTTCCGTTTGATGTGGTTTTATTTAATAACTCATAAATACAATTAAATAACATTGTTAATATAGTTTATTACGTTTACTTGTTTATAACATAAATAAATTCTAAATTTGGATTTGTATTTATATTATCTAGTATCTTGGCTCTTTATTTATCGAATGAATTTATTAAAACTTCGTGTCGTAAAATCATTACATGACGAAGCATGCCTTAATCGCTGTATTTAAATTCTCAAAAAGAACTGTAATTCTCTTTCGCGCGCAAATGCTTCTCCCGTGCGGCCTTTACTATTGTTCTCGGCTGAGGGCGTACTTTCGTGACGTGTTCAGGGAGTGTTAACGCCGGTACCTAAGAAAACTGCATTTTCTTTTGCAGTCACTACATGCGACAGATCCTCGAAGCATTGCGTTACTGCCATGAGAATGACATTATTCATCGTGACCTGAAGCCGCAGTGCGCCCTCCTGGCTGGCAAGGAAAATTCCGCCCCGGTGAAGCTGCGCGGTTTCGGCGTTGCCGTGCAACTTCCGACCTCGCAATCTAATGGCGTTGGTATGTTCACATCTTCTTCTAATTCACTTATGTTTTCTTTACGCGATCTATTTTACATGGCGTAGAGAGATTTACATCGAAAGTCGTGCGACCTCAGCTCTGGGATGCCCGACCTCCATTATTAATGATTCTCTATCAACTTCCAACAAAGTTCTATATACGTGACACATACGACCATTATCATATAAAAATAACTCTATTAGTTTGAAAAATGGCTTTAAGCCAGCGTCTATTAAATGCGTACCTTTTAAATTTAGTTAAATAAAAAAAATTTGGAAAAAAAGTTGTAAGTAAAGTTTTAATGTTAAAAATTAATTTAGAAAATTTGAATTTAACGTTTAAGATATTGAATAATATTAAAAAAATAATTACAATACAGTTTTAATTTTTATAAATTAATTTTTTATCCGGTTTTTTTTATTTTCATTTTTTCAATAAATATTAATTGTCATATCGAAATTTAATTAAATTTAAACTGCTTGAAAATATTGATTGCATCTGAAAATCTCTTCATTTTTTATAAAAATATCAAATCTGTAATTTCTTACGTAGAGTAGAATTTTCTAGATGCTTGAGAAATACTTGCATGTTTTACATTATAATGAAATTTTTTTATTAATAAAAATAACACGAGAAAAGTATATAAACCAAATGATTTGTTACTTAAAAGTATATAACATTATTACTGCCATAGTTGAAGAAAGTCAACTTTGTAAATTTAATTTTTGCAAAGTTTGCTCGTACATTTTGAATTAGTTTGCTCAAAATATCTCGACAAAAAATATCATTTTGAGCAGATTTTTTGTTATTCAAATATGTTGGAAAAACATATCGATCAAGTCATGATAACAAAAACATCACTTGAAACGTTACTTGAACCGAAGTATAAAATCGTCGAGACGTAAAAGAGAATTTACTTGGGCTATGCAAATGCCCCAAACACTTTATGTTTTCCTCTATTCCATGACATAGTTCACGAGAGCTGACGTCGTGCTGCTTTTAGCGCGACAGCATTAAAATTACTAAATTTTTCATAATATTTTTAAGTGGTGTCAGCGCTAGGCGAGAAACGAAAATAGGACAACATTGACGTTATTAAGAACGATGAATAGGGAGATTATATCTCGAAATATTCATAACTTTATTGCCTCGTGATTAATAGCTTTTACAGAAAGCAATACGATGGCTTTTCTACAATCATTCATAACATAACAAAATATTATTTAATAGAACTCTTTACAAATATCACAAGTGTATGTTTAAATGCTACGTAAATTGTGATATTTTATAAGAAAACATAAATTTAAAGATAAATTTTCTCCAAAATTTCACCTGACCTGGCGCCAACACTACTTATATTTAGTAAAATGTGCGCTGACGTAAATTATATTTACGCGTAATATAATTTTACGCTTATTCCACCTGCAAACTGAGAGGCACTATTCAATGCTCATACATCTATATTATCGAGACTCTATATATCTAGGTATTTATATCTATTTTGCTGGTATACACAAAGTTAAATACGTCACCAGATTATACGTTAATTTTATATTAATTATTTAAACTTTTTAAACGTTAATTGCGTTAAGCTCATGTATTGTACATACAAGCGTATGTGCATACAATGAATTATTATACACAAATATATACAGCAAATTATTCGACACGTTCTTTAAACATAAAAATACATTTAGGATCCACAAATTTATGATTAAGTTGTTTAATCATATATGTATTTGTGATAATTTATTAACTTTTTATATAGGAAGATAGTTTTTTAAATATAATAATACATTTCTATTCAGTACCTTCATAAAGTTTTTATTTTTTTTTTTTTTTATGTTGAAAAAGTTTTTATGTGTAAAATTAAATATATATAAATAATATATAATTTTGGAATAATACCTTTAATTTAAATTAAGTGATTGCATTATACATATGTTTCAATTAAATTATTATTTATAAGTGTTATACAGTTTATATGCGCTTAACCTATTTTTGCGTAGCGATCTCTTTCGCATTAATATTTTTTGAAGGCTAATGGATTATAAAAGATCAAGGCTATCTCACAACGAGAACATCGTTTAGTCCAAAAATCCAATATTATTACGCCAAAGTGTTAAAAAAATTTATTGATACAGCATATCGTCGATTTTATTTTGTTACGAGAAACGTGGTACATTTATCATTGAAGGGGTTTACATGTCTCTGAGAAATTAATTTTAAATTTCCGACCTGTTGGTATTCAACCGGATTCATTATGACTAATTCAAACGTGTTATTTAGCTGTGCTGCTTCCTTTTCGTTTATAGCATTATAAAAGAAGAGTTTTCAAATATTAAGTAGCGAAAGGCAACATATTCCCAGAGATATGGCATTATTGCCAGGGATGTGTGTCAACGCATCTTTGACTCAAGATTGATTAAGTTTTTGTGGAATAAATTATAATTATTATCTCCTGGGGAAAGTTCTTTTTACATGTTACAATGTACGACATCATTTCCAATAAAGATATGACTTAATAACCCTCACAACGCAGTGCGATAGTAATATTAACGGTCGAATGAGGGCAAAAAATCTATAAAAAGTGCATTGAATATTGCCTCCTCAGAGTTTGTAATTCAAATTTGTATCTTTTTTCTATTCTTTTTCTTTTTTTTCGTACCGATACAATGTGTTCCTGGCTCTCATCAAGCGTCACTTCAAAGACACTCGGTGTTTTTGTATCGTCTCTTTTTTGAATGCCCTACTCTGCGATTATTGGCTGGCTTGGTCGATGATTAGCAAATCACATTCAAAAAATTTCTCGGTGTTCAATGTGCACAATGCAACAGCTTTTATCGGATTTCTTCCCTACTGACAACCGTGATGCTCTCTTCTCTGATCAGCCGCAATCGATTGATGTCTATGCATTTTTTTTTTATAATCTTTCGCTGCTTCGATATCGCATGGTTCCATTTGTAGATGCTCTTGT